GGGTTGCCATGGGCTACCGTATGTAGCCAGCAGCCAGCGTGAGCGGCCAGCAGCCACAGTGAGCGGCCGTCCAGAAGCCGGTGACTGATCTGCCTCACCCGGGAAAAGCGCAATGATGGTGCCAACTTGGGCCAGTGAAGCAACGTCCTCCACAACTAGACTGAAGAACAAGACGAAAGCAACTTGTCTGTTCCCCTTCCCCCCAATTCCCCAGCACTGTTCCCATTCCCCCAATTCCCCCAATAAAAAAAAAATCTTAAAAAAAAAAAAATCAGAAGATTGCAGTGCTCATCAGCTATTTTAAAATCCTTTGAAAATTAGTGGGAGCTATTGGAATTTAAGGTGGCATTAGCATATTTTTCTCCCCTAATTACAGTACCGTCATCATCATATCCTCCTCCCCTAATACCGTGTCCCTTTCCTGTTATCTTAATTTCAAGATCCAGCCCATCTTCTTTACAGCCCAGTATTCTTTCTTTTGTATGTAATCATCAAGCTGTGTCTTCTGTTTTGTTTTACTAACAGTACAAGGTTGCATATGGAATCTCCTATTTATATTCTTTACCCAATTATATAGATTTCTAAGGATGAAGGAAGTTTAATAATTTGGACCTCACCAGTGCCTTTTAATTTTGGGGGCGAGGGGAGGGGCGGTTTATACTCTTGGATGCTAAATATTTTGCTACACCATTCAAATATTTTGCTACACCATTCTCTAATTTAACCTTTACATTGTGTTCTATTTTTATATTTTTTATTCTGAAAATATATAGTTATTTAGATAACAATGAAGCATTATATTCTGATATTGCTGTTTTGTAAAAGCAGCATAGGTATGGTAAGAGGACATTTAGAAACTACCTGCAGATTCTGTAACGATACTAATATTTTAGTAGGCTCACCAGTAAGAGATAACTTAAAAAAATGAAATAATTGATTAAAGGAGATTACTTTATAGCCTAATGTTTATATTTAATCACTGTGTTATAGACACTCATGTAATTAACTATTGTTATTTGTAGAGGAAACTAATTTCCTTTTATAAAATTATTCACCATATGTACAGTAATTTTAAATTAAGATCTTTAAAAACTGTCAATTTTTAGGGTAAATAGAATTTATTTATTTACTAAGCATTTCTACTTGAAATTGTGATTTCCATAGCTCCCTGTCAGGTCGGTATTCCATTGGGACATAATCAGGTATGGTGGAGTCAAATACGCCAAGTTGTTACAGGATTAATGGTAGGACTTGAAAATGTGGTAACAGGATTACGAAGTCTAGCTGTTTCATGGATGCTATTTGTTTCTAGTAGAAAATAAGTTCAGTATACAAATTGATACCCTGCAGAAGTGAGTGTCCCATTTAGCAAATTTAGTTGGGAGTTTGATGCCAGATAAATTCACTTCTTTTAAAAGAAATTTTTCATTGTGGTAAACCGTACATAAAATTTACCATTTTAACCATTTTTAAGTGTCAATTCAGTGGTATTAAGTACATTCACATTGTTTTACAGCAATCACCACCATTCAATACTTTGCATCTTCCCAGACTGAAACAATAAGTATACCCATTAAATGGTAACTCCACATCAGAGTACTTTTATTTAGATTTTTTTCTGCTTCCATTTGTTGAGGCTTCTCAGATTTTAGCTCTTTGATTCACTTGTTCATAATTAGCTCTTCCACAAATGAATTTAATTGGTTTCTTGTCTCTTGATGCATATTCTAGACCAGTGGGTCTCAACCTTCCTAATGCCGCGACCCCTTAATACAGTTCCTCATGTTGTGGTGACCCCCAACCATAAAATTATNCAGCCCAGCTCCAGGTTGAGCTGTTGTTCAGCATCTTAGCTGTGGAGGGCAGTGTCACTGGCCCTCATATGTGGGATCTGAACCGGGCCCTCTGGCATCCCAAGCCAGCTCTTAACCAACACGCCACTCGGCCGGCCCCAGTCAGGTATTTCTTGAATGATTGCAATGCTGCAGGTAGTCTCAGAAGTCAAGCTGTTATCTCCTGACTTTAAGATGTAAGAACCATTCGAAAAGGGTAAGCTGCTACTCAGCTATATATAGCTCATTGTGGCTATGTGACTATATGATTCCAGTGTTGCCAGAGCAGCCAGTTTTTTCAAGGAAAGTTGGAAATAGTTTCTTAAAAAGTAGTAGCTCCCGGTTTTTAAGTTTTGTCAATGGAATAAAATTTTAGTAAAAAAAAAAAGTTGGGCCAAATGCAAGTCACATGTGGCCTGTCAGTCACCAGTTTGGTATCTAAGTGTCATAGGTTTAGAAATGGACTTTGTGGAGAATAATAGATTTTGAACTGGGCCTTGATGTGTGATTGGAAGTTGAATAAGAGAATGGAGAGAGGTATTCCAGTTTGGGAATAAGTCAGATAACTCCAGGGCAGTGAGTATGTGTTACTTTGTGGCACAGTGAGGAGGCTGGAATGAATAGTGATCCTTTTGGAGAGAACAGGAAGTTAAGTGAGAGGGTAGCGGGAGCACATGGAAGGCAGAGAAGTTTGGATTTGCTACAGCTAATAAGAAACCATTTGGATTCTTGATCAGGGAAACTTCAGATATGAATGATGTATTAGCAACGTGAATTGAGTATTTTTTTAAAGGGTGAAGTGGAGGGTAAAAGGCTGGAAGGAGGCTGACTAATTAGGACTAACCTCTATCCAGATGTGAAATAAGATTTTGATTTGTAAATATTATACATAAGCAAGCATCTGATATTTTTGTTTACTTGTGTAATTTTAGTTACTTGATCACTTAAAATGGGCAATCAAAAATCTATAAGTATTTAATACAATATGGTGGGTCTTATAAAATAAGTGTCCTTAAAGCATTGAAAAGTCAAGTGGCTGTGAAACTAGTAGAGAATGCAGTACTTTCACAGTGCTAAGATACATGGTTCATTATGAAGCAGTCAGTGGCCTACGTTTCTCTAACCTCTTTCTCTTTTAATCCACCTTGTTTACCACCAGGATAATCTTCTGGAATGACATTTCCCCCCACCCCCCATTTCTATAAGTGAGCCGATTAGTAAGTAGTTCTTTTTTTTTTTTGCTATGTTGTACCACTTAATGCCTTTGAATTTGTTCTCTCTTTCCTTGTTTGTTTCATTTGTGAAGCAGTGTGATACAATGGAAAGGGCCTGGATTTAAAGTCATGCAGGCTTCAGTCTGATTTCAGGCTCCATTTGGGTCTGGGATTTGAGCTTTTCAAAACCTCCATTTTTGTCTGGAACAGAAGGGATAATGCCTACTTCGAGGGAAGAAATGAATACCCATGCAGGCTTATGTCCCACTCCTTTGTGGTGTGAATCTTCTGCTCTTCTCAGTTTTATCTTTCTTATGTACACATTGTCTTCCTTAATTCTTTTTTCCTTTTATTGGATTCTATTCACTTGTTCATCCACATTTGAGCAGTCTTTCAAGATTCTGTTCAGATTTTCTTGACTTTCTTAACTACCATTGCTTGCATTTCTCTTTCCCTGAACACTGAACTCTGATTAATTCTAGTAGATACTCTGCTCTATAATCATTTTAATTGGCATCAATGTTAGTTTTTTTCCCACAGACTTTGATTATGTTATAAAATTCATTTTTAATTTAGTTGTATGGAATTTAAAACATTTTCCAATAGAAATAGTAGTATGTAGTTTTCAGGTTCAAAAGAGCCCTTTAAAAGCTTCTTGTTTCAATTTAGTATGTTAGGAATATGTTTACCTTGCTTTAGGTCAGTGGATCTCATCCTGAGATAAGTTTTTTTAAGTGTCAGGGTCCCACCCCAGGCCAATTATATAAGGATTTCTAAGGATAGGGCCTAGACATTGGTATTTTTTAAAGCTCTTTAGATGGGTCTAAGAATATGCAGCCAGGGTTGACAATCACTGCTTTAGGTGCTAGAGCTAAAAGATTCTCATTGGTGCCTTTGCTCAAAAATGAAATGGCAATAGTATCATGAAAAATGTGACAGGAACCATAATCTAATAGTGCTCACTGGAAGTTTTCTGAATAATTAAAAGGTACATAGTAACATTAATGCTTCCTAGAATGGTTCATGTCGTCATATGAATATCATGTTTATTTGCTTGGCCAATATTTACTAAGTACTTTTGCTAAGCAACAGAAGTAAGGGACGTACCAGTCATTGCCTTTGCAGTGGTATTTAGTTTGAGAGAGAAAAGAGGAAAAAAAGTAAATTGAATATGATGTTTTATAGTGCTATTATAGCAGGGTGCTTTAAGAATCTCAAAGAAGGAACAACTTTAGTCTTTCTAAAGCAACAGTTCTCAACCTGTGGGTCGCGACCCCTTTAGGTGTCGAACAACCCTTTCACAGGGGTCGCCTAAGACCATCGGAAAACAAAAAGATACTTACATTA